GCCCATCTGGAGGTGCACACCCATTTAGGAATAAACGATCGAACTATTACGATCGTTGATTGTTGACGGTCAACGGTCAATTTTCGCTCTAGCTGGACTTCGATGCTAGATTTGTCTATGTTCTCAAGTAACGCTTATGAGGTTAACATCTTCATTTTCTCTCATTCATTTTCAAAAATAGAGGTTTTTCAAGGTGAAATTTAAGGGTTTTTAATAAACTTTTTGCTCACATTTTTCAACGTAGTTATAAATTTGGTTTCTACAAATGGTGTCAATTTGTTGATCTCCGAATCTGGTTGGGACCTAGTGCGTTATTAGATCTTCACTCCTCTTTCATTCACATGTATGTTACCTGCACACTTGAACATATACATAGAGACACACAACGGAGTCCCCTTTAAGAAAAAGAGGATAGGCCATGATTCCATGTACTTCGACAATCAATCTAATATGGGTGATTTGGGTATGGACAGTCACAGAAGAAGGAGAAATGTGATAGTTGAGTTTACGACCTAGTAATTTTAAGTTACCTTCAAAAGAGACCAAGTATGACTATTTATAGTCAAAAAAAATGAAAGTAAAGTCTTCCAAATATTTGACATGCGACCTTATCCCAACGGCTCACAAGTCAAACACCATAACATCACATTTCAACTATCATAAGTTTGTGACCACTCATACATTGCCCAAGATCGGATTGAGGGAATTTGACTCCCAACAACCTTGCAAAAATGTCACTTCAATCAAACTACACTAAGCTCAACATACGAGATTAAAGCTTGTACAAAATGACACGATTCCCAACCCTAACCATCTTGGAGTTTGGAAGACTTTCTAAAGTGGATAAAGGTTATATCATGCTTATCACCTCAAAGAGGAAAGGTGACAAGTCAATACAAATTACTATAACGTGGACAATTTGTTTGATTGTGTTCTGAAAGATGAAAGGTGACCAGGTAATGAGGCCCATTACCTCTAAGAATAGGTCATTGGGTGAAATTTCCCTAGCTAACAATTACATGTACTTCCACATAGATAGATGTGTAACAAAAGATGTTTGATGCCGTGGGATATGTTGTTTGGGGTTCAGCCTACATCCTAAGTATAAGATCACAGTCTTTGCTTCAAAGCAAGTATTTTCTTTCTTCTAGTTTGTGGTTAGCTGGGAGCAGTGTAATTGCGGGGAGGGGTGGCAGTAAGTGGTGAAGGTTTTGGTGGGGGTTATGTGCAGTGAGGTGGAGAAGAAGCCTCGTTGTTTTTCCCTTTTCCCTTTTTTTAGTTATTTTATTATTTTTTGTTTTTCTTGTTTGTTCTTATTTTATTTTCTATTTTTCATAACTAAAGGGTAGCATCTTTTTTATGTGATAAGGAAAAGTAGGATGGAAATTGTCAAGAAGGACAATATGAGCAAATTAACGAAAAAGTTGGACGGTAGGGAGAAGAAAAATTGTATGGAGACGATGTTACTACAAAACGAAAATGTTGGGAAGCATAGTGAAATTTACCCTACATTTATTTATGTAAAAAATTATTTATTTATCATAATATAATTCTAAACCAATAATGACCCAAGTATTTCAATCATGCTACACAAACATGTTCAATGACAAGATAAAAAAATAGGGGGACATATGGTGCAACATTATTGGACAATTTTTTTTTTTTTTTAATAAAAAAAGAAAGTTACCCACATAAGTGCTAACAACTTAGTGTCTGTTTGTAATCCTGTTTGAGTAGCATTATTCCAAGGAATTAAGCTACTCAAATAGGGCAATTTGACAAGAATTGATGACAAAGTTAACGTGAGAAATTGTGATTTATCTTCTTTTTTTTTAAATTTCATCTTTCAATTAATAATATTAAGCCCTCGTTTGATTCCCATTATTTGCCCATTAAAAAGAAAAATATGATCGTTATCCATTACATCAAACCACCATATTTGACTTTTTATTTTTTGTGTAGAGCCCGTAACGATTATATTTTTCATTCTCATTTTTATATTAATGTGTACCAAACGGGACTTAAATATTGTCTGTCATCAGTCAAATTGTCCTGTTTGAGTAGCGTGATTTTGCTCCTAGTATTTAAAGTTGTCAAGAGTTGTCCAAAGCACAAAGGAACATGCCAAGATTTTCTGCCACTGACATCATTGTTTGTTTATACGCGGCTTCTCTCTCTCACATGAAGACAACCCAAACATACAAAATCTATTTAATGCAGATTAAAGATTAACAGCCAAAATCCAACTAATTCCCCGTCTTTTCCAGCTTTCATCCTACTTATATCCTATTTTGATATACATGCAAGTGTCTTATGCAACGTAATGTTCATTTCTTTCCTTCTTGACAAAATAACTTTCAAACCAACAAAAAGAAATTGAAGAAAGTCATGCGGGACCAAACATAAAAAAGTAAAAAGAACGAATTGATTTCGATTACTATAACTCAAGATTCTCATTTAGTTAAACAATGACATAATCAGACAATACTATATGGAATATCGAATACATAATCAAGATTTTAACTAAACACGATAATCTAGTTTGATAATCGGTGCTGAAAATTCTGGGAAATTCCCATTTTAAGGTAGTCGTGAATCTTGACCACAAAAGAGGAATTTGTGAAGGTTGAAACATGGGATAGATATGAACATATATAACACATGCATAACACGGTATATGACCTCAAGCCAATTGAGGCACATGGATATATGACCTAGATACAGCTTTCAAAAGTTCTACTTTTATTTTATTAAAAAAAAAAAAAAACTTATGCAATAATTAAAAATCGTCATTTTGCTGCAAGAAAAATAGCTAATCGTACCCAACAAGCTTGAAGACTAGTACGATCGATATTCACTACGATGTGAAGGTTCTGTGGCGGTGAGACCTCGATTTGTCTTATGAAGCAACATCTCGTTGTAATAATAAGATGATTTATGAACATGCTTGGTAGAAATTTTAATTCAATTAATATCAATTTTTTACTATTATTTCACTGTTCCAGTCGTCATTTTTGAATTCTTCTCTCACAGGTAAAACTCACTTTATTTCTAAAAGTCAAAAAATCAATTAACAAAATCCTTACCAAACAAGCGCATAATAATGAATCCAACAGTATTAAAATATCTAATAATTTTGTCATATGTGTTAAATCACCGCAATTGAATATTGTGTACCATTCACAATAAATTTATGAGATACTATTATTATGGACTAAAATAATTTGAACTTTAGCTTAGGTTTGTCAAATTTATAAATTATTCAAAAAAATATATGAACAATAACGAGTAACAGTTATAAATGTATGATTAAAATTAATATTAAACTACGACTAAATTTATAAACTATTTATAAATTGTATATCCGGACGGAAGCTTAATTGTCACGGCATCTATCCTAATCCTATGGTGCCGTGCAATTTTTTTATTTTGATAAATAAGATTGAAGTAACAAGAAACCCTCCATTTTTCTTGTACACATGGGTTACTTTAGAGGAATTAATATAATCTTGCATCCATGTGTACTTATAGATTATTAACAAAATATCTATTTCTATCATACAAGATAGATTTTCAATGAATTTAAATTATATAAATAGTTATTATTATTCTGACCGATTCATTGCCATATTTGATTGAAAGATCTTTCACAATCAATGTGGCATAATCGAATCAATATGTTGAAATATTTACGTGCATGTATAAATACACATTAACTTAACAGAATAAATTCCGCTAATATGTTTCGTACATAGTACATGAGAATCAAAAAACAAAATTTAACTTCTTTTAATATTGTTTGGTGCAATCTAACATTAGGCACAAAATATTCAATGACTACGTCCCACCTATCTAGAAACTCTAGCTATTAGATCGCGAAAATAAATGAAAAGGAAGATAGAAATATTTTATCTTCTCCTCCTGCTAATTATGAATCTTATACATTTAGGGCATATTCGGTAGTGATTATAAGAATTGATTTTTTGACTATTAGAGAGAAAAGTGGATTTCACCTGTAAGTGAAGAAATAAAAAATGACGGCTGAAATAGTGAAATAACAATAAATTTTTTGATTTTTTGAGGTAAAAAATTGCTAGCAAACAGGATTTTAATCTACATATTACTAAATTCAATCAAAAGTTTAACAAATACTATAACAAAATTTAAAATAATTAATTGAAATTAAGGTTTTAATTTTCTTTTGCTTCCCTAATATTAAGCAAAACTGAGTCATATGAATTCCAATTATTACATTTTTCCCCATTATTGTATGTAATAATAGCGAAAATGATGGCTCAATATATAATCCTTCTAATTCTATGTTAGGTGCTGGTGCTGAATTGGACCCCTTAACAATTTGATTATTTTTAAATAATTAAGATTGAATAAAAAAAATTATAAATTAATTTGAAGAGAAAATTATACATCAATTAATCCCTATCTTATTACTTGATTAGCAAGTTGATACCCAACGTTTAACAGAAATCAAAAAGCAAGTTAAAGATTTCTTTTGATTATAATTGCGAAATCGATTCTCGATGGCGAAAAACCGTTCAAACCAATATTGCATCGCTAGGGTTTACCTAACACATATAACTTAGTGAAAGTAAAACTTTTTCAAAAATTTGTGTTGATGAATGTTTTTATAATGTTCAGTAAACAATGAGACGGAATTAGTTATTTTAATTATCAGAGTAAATTTTTCATTTGTGTTATAATATTGAAAGTTTGTGTCATCGACGACTTGATTGGTGACAAAAAGATTATATTTTTATTTTTGTAACTATATATTCTTATGAATCAATAAAATACTATTATTTATTGGCGTCATTTTTATTTATTTATAACTTTTTCTTTAGGAATGGAAGCACAACAAAATTTTATGGATCAATTTACTTGACTCTAAAGATCAGGGACCAAGTTGCAATATTGATTTTACATTCCCCAGGAGAGGAAAACGTCTTCTGAATTGACATAAAATCTCTGCAAGACACACACTCTCTTTCTCTCTCACTCATCTTCTTTACTCTCTCTCTCTGTCTTTCTCTCTCTACAGACACCGACTGGAGATGGCGTCGATCTTTCGAGACCGGTCACTCGGACTCGGCCATTCTAAAAGAAATTCATTTTCTTCCGCCACCACCGCCACGGCCGCCAACGTGTCACCGTCCTCCGCCACCTCCAGCTTCGCTGCACCCATAACTTCTTTCCCAGATGCACTCCCTTGCCCCTTCGGGGACGTTACTCTCTCCGCTACCGACCTACGCGCTTCCGCTTATGAGATCTTCCTCGCATCCACCCGCTCATCCTCTTCCAAACCCCTCACCTACACTTCCAACAGTTTGAGCAACAATAACAGTTTTAGTTGCGGCGATGGTAATTCCTCGTTGAGTAATGGTAATAATTCGAATAATTCGTCTTCGTCATTGCAGAGGTCATTGACATCGACAGCGGCATCGAAGATGAAAAAGGCGTTGGGGCTGAGATCCAGCTCGAAGCGGGGATCTGATGGCGGCAGTCCGCAAAGTTCCGGTTCGGGAGGGAAAACTAAGAAGCCAGTGACTATAGGGGAGCTAATGAGAGTCCAGATGCGGGTTTCTGACGCCATGGATTCGAGGATTCGAAGAGGTTTATTGAGGATTTCTGCTGGGCAGGTCGACTACCTCTTACTTAATTTCACACGTTTCCCGAATTTATGTGATTTTTTTTAAATTTTTTTAATAACTACTGTTGAATTCTGGATTTTGATGGTTCGATCTGGGGTTTAAGAGTTGGCGGCGCTTAATTGTTATTTTTTCTCCTTTACTTTTGTAAAAATACGAATTCTATTTTAATTTTATTCCTGAAAATAATAGGAAAGACACGATCTGGATCTAAATGTCTTAATCTGATTAAACAGGAATTTACAGATCTTTTCTTTTTAGTATAGTTGTGGGGTAGAATTGTAATTTTTATGGTGGAATATGGGATTTATTTCGCTAAAGACTGAATCTTTTCCTGGAACTGTGTTGATTTTGATTTAGAATTTGTTATGCAAATTTATTTCAGTAAATTCTAAAATGCTGGCAACGTTTTGTTTTGAAAAATTTGTGAGATTTTCCAGTGCTGTAATATTCTTGAAGGTGAGGTACTTGTTGAATTTTGCAAGGTGTGATTTTGTTTGATGCAGCAGCCATTTTTAGATTTGCTTTTTAAGTTTTTCTATGTTTGTTTACGGCGGCATTATGCCATGAGATAACTAATTTTTTGTCAACAACCGACTAACAAATATATCAATTTCTACTCTTCTGTTTTGTTGACTTTGTCGAATTGGATTGTTACTGATGTCTTGTTAGAAATAGAATGATGCATTAATTTCTTTGATGCTCTCAAGTTCCTGCCAAAGTTCTGACATATCCTGAATTGAAGTTTAAAACTGAAACTTCTATGAATAGAGCTAAATTTTTTAACAGTATTTTATGGTAAATGTTTGTGAGTTCAAAGATTTCTTTACATTTGAATGTGATTATGGTTAATGCTTGATATTATTTTATACTTTATAGAGACATTGATAACAGAATTTCTTTTTCCCCATATATTCTTGATATAGGTTGGGAGAAGAATAGAGTCCATGGTTCTTCCACTAGAGCTATTACAACAATTCAAATCTTCAGATTTTACTGATCAAGAAGAATATCAAGCATGGCAGAAGAGAAACCTTAAAATGCTCGAGGCTGGACTCCTTTTACATCCACACATGCCACTAGATAAGGTCAATACTGTTGGTCAACGACTTCGCCAAATTATTCAATCAGCATTAGAGAGGCCATTGGAAACTGGGAGGAACAACGAATCAATGCAAGTCCTTCGCACTACAGTAATGGCACTTGCTAGCAGATCATCTGATGGATCTCTGTTGGAGTCCTGCCATTGGGCAGATGGTATCCCATTGAATCTCCGGCTCTATGAAATGCTTCTAGAAGCTTGCTTTGATATTAATGATGAAACTTCCATTATAGATGAAGTTGATGAGCTTATGGAACTCATTAAGAAAACTTGGGGGATCCTAGGACTGAATCAAATGCTACACAATCTTTGCTTTACATGGGTTCTGTTCAACCGATATGTTGCTACTGGGCAGGTTGAAAACGATCTGCTAGATGCTGCTGACAATCAGCTTGCTGAAGTTGCAAAAGATGCAAAGGTGACGAAGGATCCTGTTTACTCTAAGATCTTGAGCTCAACATTGACTGCCATTTTGGGTTGGGCTGAGAAAAGGCTCCTGGCATATCATGAAACTTTTGATAGTGGAAAAATTGATTCCATGCAAAGCATTGTTTCTATTGGGGTATCAGCTGCCAAAATCTTAGTTGAAGATATATCGAATGAGTATCGTCGAAGAAGAAAAAATGAAACTGATGTGGTACGCAGCAGGATTGAAACTTACATCAGGTCTTCACTCCGCACTGCATTTGCTCAGGCAAGTTCCTCTCGGTCTTTGAATTCTCATCGAACAATTTAAAATGTGAACTTCAATGAAGTTGAGACTAAGCCCTTGTTTGAGCCCCATTTTGGGGAAAAAATGAATTTTGGAATAGTGTATTGATGGAAAATGTGTGGTTAAAAGATAAGGAAAAGTATTGAATTTGCGTGTAATATTATTTTATTGAATAATGTGTGGTTGAAATGATGTCAAAACATTGTTTAAAATGTATTTTTGTGGAAAGAATGGGTCTCAAACAGGGGCTAAGTGATTGTAATGATGCATATGGGTACATAACTTTTGGCACTGGAGAGTGCAAGATAAGTTTCAAGAGAAAATTTGGGAACTTATGATGGAGAAATGGTGCAAAATGTTGGCCGTCTGTTTGCAAACTATATGACATTGATCTTAAAGGCATTATTAATCTAAACTTGTAGACCTATGAATGGACCGGTATTAAGAAATTCATGTGCAAGAACATTACAATTATATCTTTGCTTATAGATATGGTAATACTATTTGGCAAACAGATGCACATCACTTTTTTGGCACTGGAGAGTGCAAGATAAGTTTCAAGAGAAAATTTGGGAACTTATGATGGAGAAATGGTGCAAAATGTTGGCCGTCTGTTTGCAAACTATATGACATTGATCTTAAAGGCATTATTAATCTAAACTTGTAGACCTATGAATGGACCGGTATTAAGAAATTCATGTGCAAGAACATTACAATTATATCTTTGCTTATAGATATGGTAATACTATTTGGCAAACAGATGCACATCACTGGGCTTTCTTAACTTCTATGGCAATTTTAGAAAACAAGTCATTTCATTCAAAATCCATCCTTCCATGTTGAAGATGTGAATGTATTTGTAGAGATTTAATTAAGCCCTCGTTTAAAATTTAGATTTTGATCTAAGTCAAAGTTAGCAATTCATTTTAACCACATTTTTTTATAGATCCCACAACTTTTCGACCATACATTTCATTAACTTCTATCAAAATTTACTAAAAATCTAATTTTAATTCCCACCAAACAGAAGCTAAAATTGTAAGCCATGTATGTTATGAAGTAAAGGTTTGTAAACATGCATATAGTTGGTTTCATCGCCACTAGATCTTCTTTGAAGTTGAAAACTCTCAAATTAGAAACATTGCTCTCATTTCTTGGTCAATGTAACCATGCTGCCATAATAAGGAATAATAGTTAAACTATAGTTGGGTAATGTATGAAAATTTGTTTAAATTTTGGACTTGCAGAGAATGGAGAAAGCAGATTCAAGCAGAAGATCATCAAGGAATCAGCTGAATTCCCTTCCTGTCCTTGCTATCCTTGCAAAGGATGTTGGGGATCTTGCAATGAAAGAAAATGATATATTCAGTCCTATCTTGAAGAGATGGCACCCTTTTGCAGCAGGTGTTGCTGTTGCCACACTACATGCTTGCTATGGGAATGAGCTGAAGCAATTTATTGCAGGTATAACAGAGCTGACACCAGATGCTGTACAAATACTGAGAGCTGCTGACAAATTGGAAAAAGATCTTGTCAATATTGCTGTTGAAGATTCAGTGGATAGTGATGATGGTGGGAAGGCCATCATTCGTGAGATGCCTCCTTATGAAGCTGAAGGTGCAATAGCCAACATGGTTAAAGTTTGGATAAAGACGAGAATAGACAGGCTGAAGGAATGGGTTGAAAGAACTCTTCAACAAGAGGTATATTTTCAGCATGTTTGATTCCTTATTGAACCGAACAAAATCCTGTATACCAGAATTTTATCTCTAGCAGACCTTGCATTCATGTATTTGAAATCTTATAAAACCTTATATGACTTTTATTGTTTTTACTCTTTAGGAAATTATACGGTAGTAGATCTCTAAGTCACACTCAGAGCTAAAAGATTGTGTGGAAATTAAAAAATTTCTAATACTTGCCAGGGTATTCTTTCAATGACTTCGTTTAGGTAAGAATTATGACTCGTAAGTCGTACTTATTATAGAACAATTTCCATATTCTCCTTTTCCTTTATCTGGACTTGAGAGATTTTGTTCAAGGCAACAATATTCTAATTCATACTTCTGGTTGAAGATTTCCTGAAGTGTAGGCCATCTTTCCAGTTGCGGTTTGTTATCGGAACAGCGTGATTACTGATTGGAAGAAACATAGTAATAAAATATGGAGTAAATTTATTTTATTTTATTTTTTTTAATTATTTTTTTTCTTTGTATCTGCTGGCGTAGTTTGTGTCTTGGTTCCAGTTATTCTTTTATGGAAAGTCTAGATGCGTTAATTGAGCTCATCAGGTTTAATTGATTAAATGAAATCACAGATTTAATTATCTACTCTTGTCTGCTCCTTATCTAGCTTTTAGTTTTTTGATATTGATGCTTATCATAATTTTGCATGTGTGTTGCATGTTGTCGAGATTACTATAAAATGGTATCTTCATTCTTATTAACTTCACTATGAATTTCAAATTATCATATTCTTTCTCCAATTTATAGGTTTGGAGCCCACAAGCTGATCAAGAAGGATGTGCACCTTCAGCTATCGAGGTTTTACGACTAGTTGACGAAACTTTGGATGCATACTTTCAGCTGCCAATACCACTTCATCCAGCATTACTCCCTGACTTGATGACCGGTCTGGATAAATGTCTTCAATTTTATGTAACTAAGGCAAAGTCTGGCTGTGGTAATACTCCTGAGCTGACATATTTTAATTTTAAATTTCTTAGGATTCCTTGTGATGAATCAACTAATTTTTGTCGAACAGGATCAAGGAACACTTATATTCCCACCATGCCAGCATTAACAAGGTGTACCGTGGGGACAAAATTTCAATGGAAGAAGAAAGAAAAAGCAGTGAATTCCCACAGAAGGAATCCTCAGGTTGCTACAATGAATGGAGATAGCTCTTTTGGGGTACCACAGGCATGTGTGCGGATAAATACTTTGCACAAAATACGGATGGAGTTGGAGGTTGTTGAGAAACGAATAATAACTCTATTACGGAATTCTGAATCTGCCCAAGTAGAAGACTTTTCGAATGGTTTAGGAAAAAAGTTTGAGCTTACACCAGCTGCTTGTGTCGAAGCTATCCAACAACTCTGCGAGGCGGTTGCCTATAAAATTGTCTTCCATGATCTTAGTCATGCTCTATGGGATAGTTTGTATGTTGGCGAGCTTTCTTCTTCTAGAATTGAACCTTTCCTCCAGGACCTCGAGCGGAATCTTACAGTTATCTCTGATACCATTCATGAAAGAGTTCGTACACGTATCATTGCTGACATAATGAGAGCCTCCTTTGATGGTTTCTTGTTCGTTTTGCTTGCTGGAGGGCCCTTGCGTGCATTTTCTCGCCAAGACTCGCAGATTATAGAGGACGACTTCAAGTCCCTCAAGGATCTATTCTGGGCAAACGGCGATGGGTTGCCTGCTGATGTGATTGATAATTTCTCGTCCACAGCAAGAGACGTTCTTCCACTCTTTCGTACAGATACAGAGAGCCTCATTGAGCGATTCAGACGCTTGACTTTGGAAACATATGGCTCTTCTGCAAAATCTCGACTCCCGTTACCCCCAACCTCTGGGCGGTGGAATCCGACTGAACCAAACACACTGTTGCGAGTTCTGTGTTATAGGCACGACGAAGCTGCTTCAAAGTTTCTTAAGAAGGCTTATAACCTGCCAAAGAAGCTGTAAAAACTCGAGATGTGATGCCAAATGATGAGAGGGGATTCACTTCCAGACGAGAGTGAACCTTCTCATCGTCCGGTTGGTATTAGCTGCAACCTTTAGCCTGAGCTTAACCTACTTGGAGAACCATAGGCAGTGCCATTTTTGTACAGTAAATTTTGTGAAGGTTTTGGTATGTTGATTCCATCTCTTGCATTTGCTAGTACGGCAATTTGTGGAACATCTGAAGGAAGGCTTGCTTGCAAAGGAATGATGGGATATGTCGTATTATTATTTGT